TGTGTGTGTGTGTGTGTGTGTGTGTGTGTTACATACTGTAATATGTTGCTAACTAATGCCGTCTGTTGTTCTTCTAGATTGTGGAACTGGACACAAAGAGAAACAGGAACAGGGAGGCACTCAATGCCCTGAAACATGATGTGGCAGATTCAGGTGAGCAGCCTCTCCCAGCAGCTGTGCCACTAAAAGAGTCAAACAAGAGAAGCTGTTAAAAACACAAAACCTCACAGTGATAGGAAAGCCAGGTGTAAAGTTTATTCTATGTGTGTTTATGCAATGAATGACATAAAACACTGCTCACATTTGCAGAGAAAGTCAAGGTTTGCTTGGGAAGCATGTTTATCAAATTCCCCAAATCCAAGACAAGAGAAATGATTCAGAAAGGTAAAACATTTCTAAGTCATTGATTCTTACATGTGCAATTTTATTAAGAACACATCATCCTAAACTCTTTTGGTCTTTGTTGTGGTGTGTAGACCAGGAGCAGCTGGACAAAGAGATAAATGATCTTCGCAAAGGGCTGAAAGCAAAAGTGAATCGTCTCAATGAGATGCAAGGTAAGTAAGCTATGCTCTTACTATAATACATAATACTTATTAACAGTTAAACTGTTTAGCTGCAAAATGTTCATCCAGTTATTTCTCTTTAGTACCACTTAGATTTCCAGCCTTTTGTTGCCCCACCTGATTTTTTAAAGATGTGTTGCTGCCATCAATTTCAAAATGAGCTAATATCTTTCATGAAACAGTAAAATGTCTCAGTCTAAACATTTGACTCTGACACTCTGACCAGATGTTTCTAATTTTAATAATATTCCACACACAAAGGAAAGCAGTATTAGTTTGTTTAATTTTCACCTTGAAGGACATCCTGGTAACCCCTCCCCCAATAAACCCCCCAAACTCACGAGTATTATTAGTTAAATGTGAAGAATATATGAAGAAAATCACTTTCATTCTGGTTGTATAGAAAAATAGAGGCCTCAGAAGCTCTTACTAGTCAGTACCCAGGAGGAAACAATCCAGAAGGTCTATTTGAAAGATAGATTTGATCACAAACTGCGATTGGGAAAGAACCAAACATTGCACACGATAAAGTTCAATCGATAAATTAGATTTATGAGTGTCCCTGGATCACAGCCTCATAAAATGTCAAACGGTTTTGGAAGGTGTGCAGTATGTTTGGGATCCTTCACAACCCCTAACAATCAAACCAGATCTGAACACAGAGACACTGTGCTGCATTTAATCCTCACATACTGGTCATATTTTCATACCTAGTCTGGTCTGGTCCAGAATATCTTCATAATCAGCGTCTACACCAAATTTTGAACTACAGATTGTTTTTGGAAGTATAAATAGCTACTAATGTGTTTTAGGAAAATCCATCAACAGAATGACATTTAGGTTTTTCACTGCTGTCAAACATCTAAATGGCTCAGATTTGGGTTAAAGTCATAGGTTTGAAGCAGCCATAAGTCAGTGTAGTAAATAGCAGGATGTGTGGAAAGTCTGAATATATAATGACATTTTTAAGTGTTTTATGTGGAGTCTGCTGTCTGTAAAAAAATAATTCCATGACATCTGGAATATTCCTGCAGCCTCCATAGCAAAAATGTCTTGTCTGGTCTCCAGTAACTTATTTGTACAGGAAGTGCAGTGTTATCTGATGGAGGTTTCATTGCTTTACATCATTAAACTCGCAGAATTTCTCCCAGTGGTTCTGTTGTTGGAAGCAGGAGAGGAAACTGAGTCCAATCTGCCTTCAGTCAGATACCTTTAGATTAGGAGGAATAAGCATAATGACTCAGTCATTATTCCTGTGGGAAGTCCTTCATATTATTATTGGGAAAAGTCCTCAGTCACAGTGATCTCTATTGTTCTGTTCCTACGACTACATTTATTTTAAGTCAGTCTTATATGATCTCTTAACCTTTTTTGTGTCTTACTGTTGCAGGAAAACCTGAGCTGAGAGGCTACAGTCTTTCTCCTCTGTCCACTGATGAAATCAGAGCTATTAACAGCCTTTTAAAGAGATGACTGGAATTCAACAAATCACTGCATCTGGGGACAAATGCCACATGCTGACATGTTGACTGCAGCACTCGGTTGTTCAGATGGGAGCACAATGTGCCAGAGCTTCAAGCCAAACCATCATCGACATGAGAACTGATCGCATTTTAAATGTGGGAGTAGCTAATGTGGAAACCAATACAACTCCCATTCTGTCTAATGGCTAGCAAGAGCTAACCTCACTGATTGAAAAGAGAATTTCAGTTGTATTGAAGTTTTTATCTGTGACCTCGGTTAACACTTTCCAGATGAATTTATGGTTTCAGTTTTTAGTTTTAACCTTTTTCTTTTCAACTATAACATGATTTTTTTTGTAAATTGAGTGAAGAGAACAGTTTACCCTTTATTGTTTGATCGCTCAGTTCGAGGAGTCGCAACAAGCATTTGAGAACTAGTAGTTGATGTCACCACAGACAACTTTTATATACAGTATTTGGCTGTGATGTATATAATCCATCCTTCGAGCTAATAAAAGCTGGTAACATACACCCAGGCTTTGTGTTATTCCCCTTATTGCATAAATAATTCAGTATCAGCTTAAGAATTCACTTGCTATCATGGACAATGAAAGGATTTCATCTGGGTCTTCCCAAGTCCACTTCACTATAACACTTAATGTCTAAACACAAGCAGAAAGCACCAGATCTGAAATCTTAGCTCAGGTCTCGGGTCCTGAGGAGGCCGTGGATCCATAATGTCTGTCTTGTTAAAATCTCCTTATTCACACTGGACTTATGAAGATCTCTTTCTTATGCATTTTCAGGGTAGTTTAGTTTAAATGATTGTGGTCAAAGTCAACAGCTTAATGGAATAACAAATTCAGAGTAATAGGCTCATGTTGACACATCGAGAAGCATTCAGCAGTTTCTTTTTTGGGGGGTAATAGTTCATAATACAGCCTGGGACAAAAGGGCATTTGAAATTACAGTGTAATTATATCTACCTTAAAATACTAGGCACATTAAAATAAGGGGGTAACAAGTCAGGGTTTTTTTTTTAAAGGAAATACAGAAATTACTTTAAATTAGAGTACGGTACTGTATCTGGTCTTTAAATGATGACGTGATGAACCCTGCTTCTGGGCCATAACGACTCTGCTTTTGTTAAGGTTGTCACTGTCGGCCTCTCTCGGTTTTTATTACCGCTAATCATTTTAAAGCTCAGTTTTTAAAACCTTATAATGTAACTACAGCCCAGTCCGTGCAACAGTACATTAATGACTAACCTCGTATTGTGGATGGATTATCTCAGTTGTTCTCCTGACTGAAGTTTGGTCCGTTTACAGCTTCCTGCCATGCGATTGCATTTGTCCCTAACCATCGGGAACCCTCACGTTAACTTTTATCAAGTGGGAAAAAGTTAGTGTTCATCCTCCAGCTTCACTGTGTTTATGTTATGCTAACATATGCTAATATAGTTGTGCCGCTAGTGATCACGTAGCACATCACTATATACCAGCTAGCCCAACTTCAGTAACCCTACGAACGTCACTGCTGTTTAGTTTTCTGTCTTCTTTTATGTTGGAAGTGATAGCAGAGCTGTACGTTTAATTTTTTCAGAAATCTCTCAGTCAGAACATGGTGTTTTATCATTAGATGGAAACTAGCGAGCTAACTTCCTGCTAACTTCTAACTCTGTTAAATTTCATAAATTCTGTTTTCATGGATGCCTGGATGCTAAACTCAATTGTTACACCTGGTAAAGCAGCAACGCTGATCGTGATGCTGCAGTGATCGTGTGACTTTAGGACCTGAAGCTGAGTTTGGGCCCAGGCACAGCTAATGACGTCAGACTTAACGACCGGATAGGTGATTTTAAGTAGTGAACATTTTACATCTTACATCTGATAGGGATTTAAGATATTTTTTCCATTTCATTCTATAATACTTTACTTATT